CATAACCTTAATAAATTGATTATTATTTTTCAATAGAGTTAATAATATGTTAATCGGAGAATAAAATGAAATAATATTAATAATTTGAAAATTGATATAAAATATTTTTAAATTTAGAGACTAATTTAAAATGATGATCTAGTTTTAGAAAAATATATGCAATTATCTCTAATATTTTATTAAAACAATTTCTGTGGATAAAATCCCCTGGGCCTACCGATGAATTTCATCACAAGATGCCAACAGAATCACGTTGCTCAGATCGTTTTCGCTCATAAATATTCCACTTGGCAGATAGAACCGTACTATTGATACATTTCGACATCATCACATCCGTCCACGTGTCACTCCAGTTCCCACACGTAAACTCGACCTCTTTATAAATCTATCCCTTTAGCCTACCCACTCAACTTTCCCGGAGTAAGTCAGCAAACACTAGCCGCCGGAATATTTCAACATTCCCAAAATACCCTCATCGTTTCATCTAATTTCCGATTCATGCCCCTTTCAAAACTGAAATAAAAAAAACGAAAAAAAAATCAAATCTCGAGCTTTCTCTGGGTCTTGTTTTAGCTTTGGAGCGGTGAAACGGGACAATGGTAGAGACGGTGGCGCGTGAAACCGAAGAAGAGCACGCATTATTGCCACATCAGAGCAATGGTGACCGGTCATGGCGGTTGAACTTCGATGGTTTCCAGTTATCTCCTGAACACAAAGACAAAAGGCCTCCTCGTAGCCTCCATGATTGCCTTGGGGTCTTAGGTAATTTTCAACCCTTTCCCCCTTATTATATAGTTAACGAAAATAGTTTTAATTTATTTCCTTTTATGTTCTGGTATCTGGGTTTGTATTTGTTTACGTATAACTAGCAATATTCGATTCTTTGTCGGGCTTTGTTATGAATTTACCTTTTTAATATATTCCTTGTGAATGGCTATTATTTGTTTTAAGTTATTCTTCAGTGTTCTTGAACGTCAAAACTTCTAATAATTCAAGATGGGAGTGGGTTATTTTAAGTGAAAGGATTGTTGCTTTTTGGTCTTTAAATGTGAGCTCTAACATGGGTTTGTATGAATCAAAAGAGTTATTAAACCTTGATGGGAGGTTTTCTCCAATGGATTCTAAGGGAGCAGTCGTACCCCTGAAAATTTCACACCTTGAAATTTTATAATTTTTAGAAGTTCATACCACTGGAATAAAATCTTGCCTCCGTTCCTGGTTTTCTCGGTTCAAGGAGGTATGTGAATTGTTGATTTTTGATGTTGTTTTGGCAAGCAAATTATGGTGAAGGGGTCTCTTGTTTTCTTGATGAAATGAAAATCGACAAATTGGTTTGCTCTATTTCGAGGATGGTGTTATGTTAATTGTTGTTCTATATGTTGTTTTCTCTTGTTGAGAGCTTGAGTTTGAAGTTTTGCAAGGGTAAAAGGTTGGTGGTTTCCTTGATGAAGTGAAAGTGAAGTTTGTTAGTTGAGTTCCGAAAAAGGCGAATCCGCGTCCATGTACTTATGAATGAATCACTTGTCGATTGAGGTTATGAAATGTCTAGGACTTTGTTTTCTTTAAGCTCTACTATGGAAAGAGTAAGAGACCTTAGATCTTTTGAATTGAACATGTATATGGGGTTTATTTCATGTTTCTTGTTCTTTGGTCATTTTGTTTCTTCGTATACTATGCGTATGTTTCGTTGAACTAACATGTTCTTTACCGTTTTGTAAATAATAGTTTTACTGTGAGTGATAACCGAGTGGACAGATCGAAGCTTTTATGCATAGCTAGGTTTGTAGTGAATGTGCACAAGATGCTGAATTATTCTTCAATTGACTCATCACTTGCAAATAAACAGAATGGATTTTGTAAGAATGCATCTAAATGGTTCTCTTCTCTTTTGATGGTTTCAGGTCCGGAAGACAACGTGGCTGAATACTATCAGCAGCAGGTAGAAATGCTCGAGGGTTTCAATGAAATGGATGCCTTAGCGGAGCGTGGTTTTATTCCTGGAATGACCAAGGTTCGGATCGTTCTCGAAAGACGACGAGAGTATTGTTTCTAAAGAAGTATTTGACTGAACTTTCTTGCTGTGATTGGCAGGAAGAGAGGGAAGATTTGGCTAGAAGTGAGACACTAGCCATTAGGATTTCCAATATTGCAAACCTGGTTCTTTTTGCTGCTAAAGTTTATGCTTCTGTGAGAAGTGGGTCATTGGCTATAATTGCATCCACATTGGACTCTCTTCTCGATCTTCTGTCTGGATTTATCCTCTGGTTTACGGCGTTCTCCATGTCGACGCCAAACCCGTATCAGTATCCAATTGGAAAGAAACGAATGCAGCCACTGGTCAGTAGTCTTGCTATACCTTTTTATTGTAACCAAAATCCTTGATTGGTGTTACGGCATGATCAAAGACAACTCTTCGTTTTCTTTAAGTACGCATCTCCAATAATTATGGCCGATGCATATCTGGACTTATGCAGATATGACCCTCCAAGTAGTGTGGTTTAGGGAGAAAAGAACAGTAAATATATGGAAACCTTGAAAACATTGAACTGCCTGACGAGAACACGTACTCGTGCAAGATAGACACACTCGAGTCCGATAACATAGGCACTTCCTAGCTAAAAGTATCTGATTTCTGTATTTTCAATGGTCATTATTATCATTTTGCTAACTGGTTTTTCATTAAAAAGGAATGCCCCCCACGAAATTCGCAAACATTGTCAGACAAATTATCAAACGGAATGTCCTAAGGATAGCTTTAAATCTCTTGAGTTGTTTGCTCTATTAATAACATATATGTATCCATTTGATTACCTATCTTACATCACCGTGTATACGATGTGTTTACAAACAAATGTTTGCTAAATAGAGGACCGATATGGTTTAGGGGTAAAACAGAAGTGAATCAAAAGAATTCAGGCCGAAACACGAGTTGGGAAGTTGGAACTTTAGAAAAGTCATAGTATGACCATAGTGGCTGACTGGTTAATTTCCTGCAGGGTATCCTTGTTTTTGCGTCTGTCATGGCAACTCTAGGACTGCAGATTATCTTGGAGTCCATACGAACCATGGTTTCAACTGTGAGTCGACTTTGATTTTGCATTAAAGTTCTCTTCTCCGTTCATAGATCTTTTACGATTTTTGAGGATGACTGCTTTGTCGTTTGAATGACAATGTCGTCGTTCTTTGCTTCGCCCAGGAGGATGAATTCAACCTGACAAAAGAACAAGAGAAGTGGGTTGTTGGGATTATGCTTGGAGTGACCCTGGTAAAGCTTCTCCTCGTATTTTATTGCCGCACCTTTACCAACGAAATCGTCAAAGCTTATGCCCAGGATCATTTCTTTGATGTTATCACGAACATCATCGGCCTCGTTGCCGTGCTACTCGCTAATTACATCGATGATTGGATGGACCCCGTCGGAGCTATCATCGTAAGTAAAATCTTCTCTCCCATCCTGTGCCTCGTTTTTTATAAACATTACCGTGTATCTGTGACTCTTTGAGACAAACTTGAATCGATGCAGCTGGCTCTGTACACTATCCGAACATGGTCGATGACAGTGTTAGAGAATGTGAATTCATTGGTCGGGAGATCAGCAGCTCCGGAATTTCTTCAGAAACTAACTTATCTATGTTGGAACCACCACAAGGCCATAAGACATATCGATACGGTCCGAGCGTACACGTTCGGATCTCACTACTTTGTGGAGGTGGACATTGTTCTGCCGGCAAACATGGAATTGCAAGAAGCTCATGACATCGGAGAGTCGCTGCAGGAGAAGCTGGAGTTGCTGCCTGAGATAGAGAGAGCCTTTGTTCATCTGGATTATGAATTCAGTCACAAACCTGAACATGCTCAGGCACATGCTTTGTAGACACCCATAACCTAGGATGTCTTTATGTTATGTCTCTTTTTTTTCTCTTCCTCCTCTCTCTCTCTCCTACCAACAAATAATATAAGTTGTGTATGCTTGGAGAATTGAGCCATATGAAAGTAACTTTCACCTTTATGGTAAATATTAGCAAATGCAGAATGTTTACTATTAGTAAGTGATGATAATGGTTCGAGTTGGTTGAATTTTTTGTTTATTTGAATTCGATCTAAAAGTTAAAATTTTTCATCTACTTTTATTTGAATTTAAGAGAGTTTTTACTCAATTTGATATTTTAAATTAAAAAAATCAGTATTCAACTCTAATCAAATCTAGATATATAAAAAAAAAAATTTATTGAACTCAATAAGAGTTTAATTACTAAGAAATAAAATAGAAAAATATTATAATAATTATTTTTAAATATATAAACGATAATTATATTATTATATTAATGTGACATTTTATATTATTATTATAAGTAATGTGATGTATGTCGTGCAATCACTTTAGATGATAAGATACAAATAATATCATCATTTTTAAAATTAAAGTATAATTATTATTAATATGTAGAAATACAATTTAGTTTTATAATTTAACGAATTAAAATGAAAATACAATCAAAGTTGAAATATAACTTATAATTTAAACTTTAAATTTTTGATAAAAATTAAAAAAAACAATATCAAAATTAGAAAGTAATTATTAATCTTTAAATATAAAAACCAAAACAATAAGATTCATAATATATCAGAGCAGAATGAAAAAATGAACAAATTCCTACCTGCAAAACTGACCTGCACACCTGAACCCGCGAGACCCGCCTTCCATAAAATTTCCACAATACGCTTCACAGAGGCTAACGGAGGAGCTGGCCCAAGAAATTGTCCAACCAAAGACAATTTCCACTCCGAGATACCCGCCTCAAGAACCTCTGAAGGCGGATAAACCGAAGGAACCGGAGACCCTTCTCGAGCAATTTGGGGAAAAAACTCCAAGGTCAGCTCAGCAGCGCTCCCAAAGAGCTTACGCCAATCCATCAAACCAGAGTCCATCCTAAGCTAAGAACCAAAGAAACAACAAAACGAGAAGAAACCGATCGGAAATCTAGAGAAAACCGTCAAGAATGCACCGGAAAACTCAGTTTTCGTTAGCCCTGCTAACGTACACCCAGAGAAAACCGTTAGCGTGCGCCTCAATTAAGTTTAAAATTCAGAACAAGCCTTTGATTTTGAGGAGATGGGAACCTAGTATGAAGCATTTAGAGTTTGATCTCTCTCGTATCCCCGTATGGGTTCAGCTTTACAACATTCCCTTGGAGCTTTACTCACGTACTGGATTAAGCTATATTGCCAGTGCGTTGGGTGTGCCTTTGTCTATGGACTCGGTGACTGCTTCCAGGACTAGGTTGGAATATGAAAAGGTTTGCATTGAAATTGGAGTGAAAGATTCCATCCCAAAATTTGTAAATGTTGTGTTGCAGGATGGACTTGCTGTCTCGATTAGGGTTGTGGTTCCCTGGGTTCCTCATTGCTGTCAGAGATGTAATGTTTTTGGGCATAGTGAGAAGGTTTGTCCTGATGTGCACATGCCCCAACCTGCTGTGATTCAGGTATGGAGGAAGAAAGGGGATGTAAATTGTCCTGTTTCTGCTCCTGTTAATAGTGCAAAGATCCTGTAGGTAAGAAATAAACTTTCTGGAAAAAGGTTAGAGAATTGTGAGGAGGATAATTGTTCTCAAATTCCTATTGTTGGTGGAATTGAGGCTTTGCAGGAGCCTTGTCAACCTGCTGGAGAAGGGTTGGATAATTGGGTGAATTCTTAGGTTGATGAGTTGGTTGTGGACCTGGTCAATGAAGCAAATTTTGTCAATAAGGGGTTTGCTCAGCCTGTAGTTGATTTTCCTCCTTTGCAAGCTTCTTCTCAGAAAAAGAATGTCAAGAATAAAGCTAAAAAGCAATTTGCTAGCTCTTCTAACCGTTTTGAGGTTTTGGTGGCAGTTGCTGGTTTAGAAGGAAGTAGGAAGCCTCGTGCGGCTACCATGGGTGTTACTGCGCTCCTAAATGAAATGAAGCATAAAAAGAAAGATCTTGTTGATAAGTCAGTGGGTTCCATTGTTGGAGCAGTAGCTGGAACTGTTGGGGGGGGAGGCCAACCATGCTTAATGATTATATGTTTTTGGAATATTAGGGGCTTTAATAACCCCCTAAAGCAAAAGCAAGTTTTTACTAGAATGGGTAAGCTCAAAGTAGACATTATCTGCCTTATGGAAACCCGTGTGAGGTCTGTTAATGTGTACAAGTTGGTTGAGTGTTATTCTTCAGACTGGAATTGTTTTACAAATCATGAGTACTCTGACAATGGTAGGCTGTGGATTTTCTGGAGAAAAGCTCTTACCTTATCAGTCTTGAAAGTCTTTGACCAATCTTTGTCTTTTGTTGGTGAGATTGGTGGCCATAGGTGTGTTCTAACTGCAGTCTATGGAAGCAACAGTGGTTCTGATAGGCTTCACCTCTGGAGGCAGTTGGAAGAGGTGGAAAGTTTAGTTGGGGAGGCTTCATGGCTTATAGGAGGTGACTTCAACATTTTCATCAATGCTGAAGAAAGCTCTGACTTTGAGAGCCTTGGGCCTTATGTCACTGCTGAAATGGAATCTTGTAGGAGCTGTTTGTCATCCTTGGGGCTTTTTGACCATCCTTATGTGGGTCCTCTATATACATGGTCAAATAAGCAAGCAGGGAATTTTTTGGCTCGTAAATTGGATCGAGCTCTTATTAATGCTCGGTGGCTTGAAGATTTCCCAAATTTCTTTGTTGAGTTTTTAGCTCAGGGGGTCTCTGATCATTGTCCTGCTGTGATTTCTTTTTTCAAGGATAACCAGGCTGACAGGCCCAAACCTTTTAAGTTTTTCAATTGCTGGGCTAATCATGGTGATTTTAAGAGTGTTGTTAAAGAGTCTTGCCAGCTAGACGTGTCTGGCTCTCCTATGTTCTGCATTTTTGCTAAGCTTAAAAGGCTTAAGTTGAGACTTAGGCAGTTTAACAGGAGCCAAAAGAGCCCAGCTTGAGTAGATACAGCTTGCTAACCTTTCCCAAGCTGGTTGTCACTTAGATGATGAGAAGATTCTCTTTAATGAGCTTCAGGAGCTTGAGGTGGCTGAAGCCTCTTTTTATAAGCAAAAAGCTAAAGTCCATTGGTTGAAAGAGGGAGACAGGAATACAAAATTTTTTCACTCTACTGTAGTGAGGAAAAGTAAGAGTAACACTGTTAGATTGCTCTACGCTGAAGATGGTTCTCGGTTGGACTCATTTGATGCTATGTCTGCTGAGATGTTGAGATTTTACACTGAGCTTCTTGGTTTTGAGGATGTTGGTGTTCAAAGCTACGGTGTTGATCTCCTAAAGAGTCTGTTGGGATATGAGCTTCCTTGTGATGCTGCTACCTTATTGGTCAAGGAGGTCTCTAATGAAGAAATTAAAGCTTCTCTGTTCAGGCAAGGTAATGAAAAAAGCCCTGGTCCGGATGGATATACAACATATTTTTTTAATACGGCTTGGGATATTATCCATGAAGATTTTCTGGCAGCTATTAGAGATTTTTTTCAGACAGGTACTCTACTTCCTGCCTTCAATGCTACAGCAATTGCCTTCGTACCTAAGACTCCAAATGCTGGTATGGCTAAAGACTTTCGTCCTATATCCTGTTGTTCGGTTGTCTATAAAACTATCACTGGAATCATTGTTGCTCGGTTAGCTTGCTTCTTCCCTGGTATGATTTTGCCAAACCAGTCAGCTTTTATTAAAGGGCGTAGTATTGTTGATAATACGCTCTTGGCTCAAGAGATTGTTAGGGGCTACTCCCACAGTTCCCTTTCCCCAAGGTGCACTCTTAAAATTGACTTAAGGAAGGCATTTGATTCTGTGTCTTGGGACTTCTTGATGAATGTTCTTACTTCCTTAGGGCTCCCAGGAAGGTTTAGAGATTGGATCACTGCATGTGTCATTGGTGCTAGATATTATGTAGCATTTAATGGTAGTTTAGTGGGTTTCTTTAAAGGGAAGAGGGGAATTAGGCAGGGTGATCCTCTGTCCCCTTATCTCTTTGTTCTTATTATGAATGTATTGTCCCATTTGTTAAACGTCGCTGCCAAGGAAGGGTTAACCCGGTTTCACCCTAAATGTAAGCGTGTTCCTCTCACTCATCTCAGCTTTGCTGATGATTTATTAATTTTTTGCCATGGTGCTGAGGATTCTATTTTGGGTGTTGTTGGTGTTCTGGAGGTCTTTTATAAGATGTCTGGGCTACAGTTAAATGCTGGGAAATCTGAGCTGTTTTCTTGTGGTGTGCATGAGGATGTTTTAAAAAGAGTGCAGGTTACTACTGGTTTTAAATTGGGTACACTTCCTGTTAGGTACCTTGGTGTGCCATTAGTTACCAGAAAGCTTACTGCTAAGGACTGTCTTCCTTTGGTTGATAAGATCATAAGTAAGCTGGCTTTGTGGTCTAAGCTGAAGTTGAGTTATGGTGGCAGACTGCAACTCATTCAATCTGTTTTATTCAGTATTTCCAATTACTGATGTAGGCAGATGATTTTGCCTAGTAAAGTCATTAGGCAGGTTGAGCAACTCTGTATGCGGTTCTTCTGGAAGGGGGATGATGTTCCTACCAAGGGGGCTAGAGTCAGCTGGAAGCAGATGTGTTGGTTGAAGTTTGAAGGTGGCTTGGGTTTAAAAAGTCTGGGCTGCTGGAATAATGTTTGTTGTTTTTTACTGATTAGAAATATCCTTGCAAATACTGGGTCTCTCTGGGTGGCCTGGGTTAATGAATATGCCCTGAAGGGGGCCACTTTCTGGGAGGCTGGTTACAAACCTCAGCTCAGCTGGACCTTGAGGAAGTTGCTTAAGCTACGAATAGAGGCTGCTGGTTTGTTTGGCAATGTAGTTGACTGGAATTTGGTTAAAACCTATTGGGTGTGGGAGAAGTTGAGAGACAAGAAGGAGAAGGTTAGTTGGGAACACTTGATATGGTTCCCTCTCCATATCCCTAGAATGTCTATTGTAGCTTGGATGGTTTTTTTGAACCGTCTGCCTACTAAGGATAGGCTTATTCATATGGGGATTGAACTAGATGGGCGTTGTGAGCTCTGTAGTGATGGGGTTGAGAGCATGGATCATTTGTTTAATGACTGCACCTTTGTTGCTGGACTCTGGAGTAAAATTCTGCAGACTTACAGAATTCACTATAGGGGGTTGTGCTGGAATGATACTTTGTCCTGGGTTGCTACTAACTTTAAGGGAAAATCCTTGCTAGTCTGCATTTTGAAGCTAGCTTGGATTAGTCTTCTGTATTTTGTCTGGGAAGAACGTAATCTCAGGCACTTTAGAGCCTGTTCTCGGGTGCTTGATGAGGTCTTTGACGCTATAAAACGGACAGTTAGTGTTAAGTTGCATGGTTGTAGCATCAACAAAGCTGATAGGGTAAATTCACAGCTCTGCCTCGATTGGTGCATTGACTAGCTTGTTGTTTGCTTCTGTTTCGCTGGTCTCTTGTCTGCAGGCATGTGAGATGCTCCTAAAGCGGTGGCTACTTATGGGTTGCTCCTTAATTTTGCTTGCAGTTAATTGTTGATTTTCTTTCAGTGTTTCTTTGAGTTGTTTTACCTAGGCAATTGTGGAGTGTTGTTTATTTGCTGTTGATGCTGTTTCCTACTGTTGTATATGTTATTTGCTCTTTCTTTGGGTAATAAAAATCAAATTATCCAAAAAAAAGAAAATATATCATTTTGTAAAAATTTATGATCTCAGATATTAAAATATTTCATAAACAAAACGTCGCCGTCTTCGTATACAATTATTATGGAATCGAATTTGGAATTTGGAATTTTCTTTTTCTCGAATCCCAAACAACGACAGACCTACGAAACCTTTAAATTTTGGAATTTTGCGGGCCATATGATTTATTGTTGTTATTATTATTTTTGTTAAGGTGTTCATTCGGTTAAAACGGGGATCGATCGAATCGAATTATTATTAATCGAATTAATTAAACTTTTTTCTTTAACCGTTAACCGAACTGATTTTTTTTAAAATATTAATCGAACCTAATAAATTTTGGTTAATTCGGTTAATTTTCGAATTAACCGATTTTTTTTAATTTTCTAATTTATATAAAAATTGAATATTTTTTAATTCAAAAAAATTTACAATTAATTTAAAATAATATATAATTATAAAGTAAACGTTTTATATGGATTTTTTTAATTAATTAATATTGATTTAGGTTTGAAAGTTATTGGATATTAAATTATTAATTGAGTTTTAAATGGTTTGGCTGGGCTCATATGTTATATATAATATATATAATATTTAAAATTTAATTTCGGTTAATTAACAGATTTCGAACTGAATTAACCGTTAATCGAATTGTAAAAAATTTATTAATCGTTTCCTGGCCGAACTAATTCGGTGATCGACCGAATTAACCGAATTAATTTAGTTCGATCGATTAATTCAATTAAATCCGAAAAATGAACACCCTAATTTTTGCTTTGAATTGCCCGTTTGCTTGTCCACGTTCTTTTCATTGTACAATCCTCTGATCTTAGATTAAATTTGTATCCAAAAATAGACTAATTTATGGACACAATAATGACCCCATTTGAAGTTCGTGTTGCCCATGTTCTCGTTTGATGCCAGCTTTGAATTTTCCAGTTTTGATGGAAGATTTTGTCATTTTTTATTGGCTTTATCAATAAAATGACCTTTTGATGACATTTTCAGATTGGACCTTAATTTCTTTTATAAGAAGTTATATGTAAACCATCATTTTATCTATTTACTCAAAAAAATAATTATAATAAAAAATATAAAATCCGTTAAAATCCAAATATATTTATCAATTTATTTTTAAAATATCAATATATATATATATATCAGATTTCTGAAGATTTTAATATGTGACCTACATTATATATCACGTGGTACATTATATATCACGTTAAAATTCTTCATGTACTAATGTGATAATGAAATATAACTTTAGAGGTCAAAGTAAGATTTAATACTTTGTAAAACACCATTTGTTAAGGAATAATATGGAAATTGGGATAAAGTTAAAGAGTCAATTTAGTAATAAAACCTTTCCTATTTAATGAGATTGTATGTATATAAAAATGTATTATTCATCACATTTGGCGTAAGCATTATATTAAAACAAATAAAAAAAACTATCAATAGAATGATTAAGTGATAGACAATTTGATATGTCTTAAGTAGATTTTAAATTTGAGTTTTTATGTATATAAAAATTCTCTGTTGAAATATATATTTATCAAAATTAAATATACAACGTAGATTAATTTAAATTAATCATGATGAAACTTAAAAATCGAAAATAAAATAAAATCATTAAAGAATAACGAATACCTAATCAGATCCAATATTAATTATATTTTAATGGGAGGTGAAATCATTTACTTAAACCTAATCATACCATTGATTTAATTGATTAATTAATTTTTGATTAAAATAGATAGTGTCATATTCATAAATAAGGGGTTTTTACATAACTGACACCGTTTGATTTTAATTTTACTTTTCTGACACCGTTTGACCAATATTTCCAGAACTAGCACCCTTTCTGCTGAGTTGGCAAAGGCGCGTCCCCGGGGGCGCGCTTTACCCGTGTTTTTCGCTGAGTTGGATGTCACGTGTGAAAGGCGCGTCCCCGGGGACGCGCCTTTGCCAACTCAGCAGACACGTATTTTGTTTTATAATAAATAGTTTATTTTTATTATTATAAATTAATAATATTATGTAAAATGTTTCGATTATAATGTAAGAATTATCAAGTTTCGAGTATTTTTGATTTTGATTATCGATCTATTAATTTTATCAGTTAATTATTTAAATGTTATCAATCTAGTCATCTCATATCAATATTTAACGAAAATATTGATGTATAAGTTAATAAATTAGTATAATTACATATTTAATCTTCAAGACTTACATATTTTATAAAATTAGTCTTATTGAAAATTTAATTTAATAAATTTAATCTTCCAATCAGAACATGAAATGTGTCATCGTATATAAATGCAAATTATTTAGGTGTACATACATTGACAAATTATATAAATGCAATAACATTAAATTATTAGAAATAAAAACATTCATTTAAATACAATATTAATTACATAAGAGTTAACGGTTATATGATGGTAACAGAGCTGGACATTTTTTTCTATTGTGCCCGATGTTTCTACAATGCCCACATCGTTTTTGTTCTGTTGACTTCTCCCGAATATCCATATCACAATGTATTCTAGTAGATTTTGGACGACCTGAGTCCCTCAATAGCAATGGATCTGGTACAATTGTAAGCCAAGTTTGAATCTCATTTGGGTCTCTTTCGTTTCCTATGGGCGGAAACTCAAATTCATATACCTTGAATACTTGTGAAAGTTGGTATACGGGATCAACATAATTTTTGTAGTCCAAATGTGAATGTGAGCAAGCAGCAATGACATGAGAGCATGGATATTTGAGTGCTTGAAAGAAACCACAATCGCACCACCTCTCTTGCAGATTAACTCTGAAAGAGTTAGCTTCAATCCCTTGCAGCGGACGTGGCATTTCGGTTACACGAAACAATTCACGGGTGCGAGAAAATTTGTAACTAACATCCCATTTGATGCAGCCACTTTTTTCTGTAAATCGGCTACTAGTCTTGGGTGGTAAATATGTCCGTTTGCATCCAAGTAAGAGCTTGTCCACCGAGTTTTGCAAAGAGTTGACCCAAACGAAAATAAGTCGTTTTGACCAACGCCGTGACTGGTAAATGACGCGCCCCCTTTAAGGTTGAATTTATTGCTTCAGCCAAGTTTGTTGTCATATGACCATAGCGATACCCCCCGTCATATGCATTTGTCCACATTTCTTTGCTGATGTCCATAATGTACTCACACCCCTTCTTATTTTTGCCAAACAGCTCTTGTAGCATCGACTCAAACCTTTGAGGTAAGAGTTCGTAACCTAAGCCATTAGGAATATGTAATAGTTAATATGAAGTATAAATAAGTAATAAGAAATTGATAGAAAAATTGGGAAAAAGTAACATACCCATCCGCACGACTAACTGACGTTCATCGTTCTTCTTGTATTTTCCGTAATAGTTTGCAGCAATATGACGGACACAATAACGATGTTGAACATGTGGAGGTCTATACATTGTACCCAAAGAGTCCATTGTTGCTTTTATCCCGGCTCTTCGGTCTGAAATAATGCATAGTCGTTCCCTGGTGACAACATGTAAACGTAAATTTTTAAGGAAAAAAGCCCAAGACTCAGTGTCTTCTCCTTGAACGAGGGCAAACGCAACATGAAGAATATTGCGGTTTCCATCTTGGACCACAGCCAATAATAAACTTGCTTGTATTTCCCATACAAGAAAGTACCATCAATTTGGACAATTGGTTTACAGTACTTGACTGCATTAATACACTGAGGGTAAGTCCAAAAGACTCGGTAAAATTGGCAGTGATCGCGAACCATTCGATCATTCACGTAATGATGTTGAGTTTCGAACTCAACAATTGTCCCGGGATTAAGTCTTTGCACAACATGAAACCAACTGGGCAGCTCGTTGTAAGAGGAATCCCATTCGCCATGAAGTTTGCAAATGGCATTCTGTTTTGCCAACCACGCTTTTTATATGAGACAGTGTACCCATATTGTGACTGTATAGCAGAAATCAACACTGCAACAGCTATATGAGAGCTTTGCTTCACAATGGGCATGATTGCTTGACAAATAATGTTGGAGTCCAAGTTGGGATGATCCTGGTTTATACGTGTTGCACAACATGTATGAGGACCGTTGTATCTGGTTAGTTCCCATAAGTTGTTCTTCCTCTTCCTCTTTGATACACGGACCATCCATTGACATCCGTTGTGACGTTGGACGCAGTAGCAGAAATATTTCTCCGTGTTAGATCGATCAACTCGGGACTGAACTGAGTTACGAATATTGTAACTCTTTATTGCCATCATTGCTTCCTCCTTCGATGCGAACTCCATTCCAATATGTAAATTACCGTCATTGACTGATGATTGAAGTCCATAGTTGCCAACATCAGGAAGATCTGGAAATTCAGGCTCATACATTGCATCATAATCAGCCTCATACATATGTGCAGGAAGTTCGGCTGGTGTTGTATTTATCGGAACGTCATCCTCGTCATCATCAGAATGTACGTTAAACTGTGGTGAGTCAGGTTCAACGAATAATCCCGTTTCAGCACCATCTGCACCTGGCTCCCGAAGAGGTTCTTCTGGTGGAGATGAGGGTTCCTCCGATAATCCAATGTTGAGGTCAAATAAGTTCCCACTTGCGTGTCCTCCCCTTGAACTTGAGGCCATTGTATCATGTGGGATGTGAATAGACTGTCGTCTCGTTGGCATTTCCATATGTAAGTCGAAAACATTGGCAGATGAATGTCTGCCCTTGAAGTAGAAGAGATGTTGCCATATGGATTATTGGTGAAGCCACGTGGGTTGAGATCATAAGCAGTTGCAGATGAATGCCTTCCTATTGAACTTGATGGCATGGTATATGGCGTTGGATCCGCCA